TCTGCTCTGCTTGGGCTTAGATCTGAGGAGCTCACAAGCTACGGGGAGGACCGTACAGTCACTCGTTTCCTACACAAATACACATGGAGACACGTGCATTCATGCAAATGTGCAGCCAGCAATACTGCACACATGCACATCAATAAGAACACATGAATAAATAAATATTTGGATACTGTATGATATTCTTTCCATGCCATGACTTTTATTAGTTTGCGTTTGATTTGTGCAAATCAGTGTCAGTGTCCTTTTTGTTTAGCATTTCTATTGAGCATTTCTCTGTGCGTGCTAGTTTGTGTGTCTGGATGCTACACTGCACTTTCCATTATCACATAAGCAGCATTCAACTGGAAAGATCTAGCTGGCTATGTGTCGTAGTAGGCTGCAAGACAGACAGACAGACAGGCATTATGATGGACAGACAGTGTGTTTTCATGGCAATTTTAGCAGCGTCTGTGGATTAAGGTTAAGCTTAAACGTCAGTGATGCTTCCACAGAAAACCGGGACATAACTCATCTGAAGGAACAGATTGTTTGACTAACTAAGCATACAGAGATGTGACTGACAGTCTCATATAAAATGCTACCTGACTGAGCGAAAGGCTGATACCACGTGACTGAAACACGTTGGAACTAAAAAGCCAGTTTGCTGAATACGAGCCCTACACTGCAGCATCATTGTCTGTTTGAAAATGAAACCTTCACCTCTTATTCCAATGTGGCATGTGTGCAACATCTGCAATACTTGCCAGTGTTTTCTTTACATGCCTGTGGCTAGCTGCCTACTTTACATCCTTTATCCAGAGATGTCAGAATAATCAGCAGACGGCATCTACAGAGGGAGGTTGGCTGAGGTAAGATTAGGTTTCGTCTCTCCACCCAGAGCATCATCAAAACTCTGTCTGTTATGAAAGTTGAAGCCTTGATTTTGGAGAGAGTGTGCATGCACTCTGGATGTAAGAACACATTAATGCAAAGTCTGAAAGCCATCTGAATAAGTTTGAATATTTAGATTTGATGAAAACCAGTGGTGTTTCTTTTTGTTTCCATTACGTGTTGACTTCTCTTTTTATACACCAAATAAATCTGTAATGACTTTGACCAGAGGGGGCACTCAGAGAGCGCATACCACCGCCAAGGTCCAACACTCCCATTACAGAACCTTATTTAAATTTACCAGATCCAGATTTCTATTTGGATATGTACCAAATTACACAGACTCATAAATATCAGTCTCCCAAACATGATTTATTTCAACCAAACCCATGAATAATTCTCTGAGAAATCAAGGAAATGACTTTTCTTGCAATTCCAGTTCCTGGATCAGCGCCCCTGATCCACATCTGCACCAAAATTTCATGAATTCTTTACCAACCTATACTGCATTAAGTTTCGTGGTAATCCGTCCAGTGGTTTTTGTGTAATCTTGCATAAACAAACCAACCTACATACAGATTGACAGGTGGGAAAACATATCCTCCTTTGTGGAAGTAATAAATATAACTGATGTATGACATGGACACTGTCTCAGATTTATTCATGTTACTGTAAGATGTTCACAAACTGATTGAGGAGTCACTAACACGTTTTCAGACACATATGCTGATCAAACTGCTCCGTGCCACATGCCAGTGTTTTACTGAGAAGACACAATACTCTCTGTCTTCACTGTCATTTTTGTCAAAAGTTACACTGTTATCATGTGGTCATGGTCAGAGCTGCAAACACACTATCTTGTCAAAGACGCTTATGTTTCTGAACTGAATATCCAGCACTGGATCAAAGAAAGGCTTCAAACATGAAAGCCATGTGGCTTTAAGGGCAACAGCATTGGTCCCCTAGTTTGGCTAATTATTGCACATGACGAATGGAGAATATAAAATCAGACCATGAATTTTAATGACAGATGAACAAACAAATTGACTGACTGATCCATAAACAAACTAAATGTCTGCCAAGCTGACTAACTGACCGACTGACTAACTTGCCATTTTGAATCCATTGCCCTGCAGCTGCTCTGCCCTGCACTGCAAAAGACTAGTTGTCCATAACGTCGAGGTGCCAAAATGTCTAACAGTGCCATTTCTGTGGTTACCCACAGGCGAGAGTGAGAGGTAGAGGCAGGGGAGAAGAGTGAGCGATAAGAAGCAGCGGCAGCAGCAGGACAGCGGAGCGGGGGAAATGAGAAGAAGGAGGTGATGCAAAGACGAAAGGAGGGGGAAGGTGAGGGGGACGACGGGAGATGAGATGGAGTGAGATAAGAAAGATAAAGTGGAGAAATAAATAGAGGCAGGAGGTGAGATGGAGCGAACAAAGAGATGGAGAGACAGAGAGGGAAGGAGAGAAAGAGAGATGGAACACAAGGATATGCATGTACACACTTACATGGATGGACACAAACAGCTTTTAAGGTTTGAATTAGAAAATAGAATCTACAACCTGTCCCAATTAGCTGAGGCTACATCCATACTACATTTTCTTTGGAAAATGCATCAACTGCATTTTGCTAAGGATGCGCACCCTATTACACAAAAACATAGTAGTACAGTTGTAGCCATAAAAATCCATAAAATAAGTAAATAGCTACGGTGCTGTGTTGTTTTCATTATCATGAACAGAGATGAAATGAAAGCTTGAAAAGCATGAAAAACAAATTGAAAAAACGTCTACCCTCTACAGTGTTTCATCTGTGATGTGTACTAATGCTTGTTACTTCTCCCTTTTGAATGTCATAAAAACCTAAATGGATAAATTGGATACTTTAGAAAGTACAACTGTCCCTTTAAGACTGACTAGCAGATGTATCCACTCTAGACTTAAGTGCTCTAATGTCTGGCAAGCTGGCTAGTATAGAGTAATAATCGCTCACTTACACACACACATTGACTCTAAGACCCTGCTGGGCGGAGGAAAGCTGAAGACGATGAAGTCATGACATAAACAATAGCTCATTCAGCTTGGCACTGGCGGTCAGGAAGCAAGACCGTGCTTAAGGGACAACATCTGTAGCCTGGGGTGGGGGGTAGAGAGAAAAAGAGAGAGGGAAGAGAAGGGGAGTCGACGTCCAAAACCCTAAAGTCGCCTCATAATTCTAACAGAGCTGTGGAAGCACCAGTGCAGGTCTGAGAACAAATCCCAGCATTTATCTGAGCAGATCATGTCGGAGGTCTGTGCATCTATTTGACATTCCAGTAGTTTTGTAGCTGTAGAAACTGTGCAGGGGGTGGGGAGGCAGTGCTGGAGAACAAGCCACAGGGATCACGCACGGCTGTATTTCAAATGGCTTTTCCCACATGGCCCCTGCTACCAATTTCATCTCTGGTGGCTCTGCGCTGCCTTCGTCAACCCTCTTTAGTGCAATTAAGATAATTAAATGTATAAAAAAAAGGATGGTCAGCTGTTGTTGTATTTCCACAATTCCCCAGGGTGTAAGCAAAGATGGATAGAGTGGATTAGCCATCACCGTGTCATAAAATCTCACCATTTTAAATATCAGCTGGCTATCTGAGACAAAGTGAACGACACTCTTGCTGAGATGATTCATTACGCTGACAGGCAGACTGCATCTTATTTCTATACGGCTGTATACATTATAAATGTTAATCTCCCTCATGAAACCACCACTCTAGTTCGACACATTCTTTTTCCATTCACAGGAAGATTATGTTCACGCATAAACCTACTGAAATTTAGCAGCAGTGCAGTTATTTTTACTTCGGTGACAATGTGCAGGTCTGCTTCATGAACCTGCTGCTGCGTGAGGTTTTTCTTTAGGCTCAATGCTGTCTCATTATCAATGCAACAGTCGAACTAAAACAGGCCCACTGACTCAAAATTCAAAGTAAAAAGCTCTCCTATATGCTTGGTGCTGTTGAAGTCTGTTGTGGAAGTGCAGCGTTCATGCTGAACTTCACAGACTTATCCTTCCCTGCACTTAAACAGTTTCTCCTTTCACCTTCTCCTGAGAAATACGAACTGAGATTTTTTTTTACCTTGTCTGTAGAATAGCAAACATTACTCTGACCTCTGAGTTTGCACATATGGACAAACTACTTCATTTTTGAACAGCAAGACCTCTTCCTTAACACCCCCACAACTAACCACCCTGCCCCCTCTCTCAGGGCTCACAGCTGGACTCACACCACCTGCTGGTTAAGCCAAGGGCAAAGAATCTTATAGGACTTAACATGCAGCAGGACACGGAAATCTGCCATTAGTGATGGGGTAGTTAAATTAACATTAACCTTCAGTCATGACTAAATGGAGAGCTATGTAGTCAATTCTCATAAACGTCCAGCTCAGATGTGTTTCAGACATGAAGCTTGAAGAATAGAGCTGATGCTGTGAGGTGAACAATACAGGACAATGAATAAGCATCCCAGTTGCTGTGCTTCTGACATAAAGCTTTTGCTCTAAGAGTTAAACGTAATCATGACAATTTGACGACAGGAAATGCTTGGGAAGACATAATGGAACTGATTTAGAGTTTTGAATGAGCAATCTGTATTACTAATTTGAAAAGAAAAAGCAGAAAAGAGAAGTGTTAAAAGAATCCCAAGGTACAATAATAGTATAATGATTGATTTCAATATATTGCCCAAACCTCATATTACCGTATAACTAAGATTCCTTTCAAAAGCATTTTACTAATAAGGCAAACCCAAACTCCTGCTATTTTCATCACAACACAAGAGCAATCAATGTCGTTTTGATCCCCTCAGGGTCTAGTTGAGAAACGTAATTGATATTACATAGACCAAGGATTTGACCATTTTCTGACTTTGGTGACTACTTGGGGGGACATCAAATAAGACACTGTGAGACACAATGCACACTGTAACATCACCTCTAACTTCCACTGAATCCAACCTGGAAAGTTTGTAAACTAATTTTTACCAGGATGGTCTAATTGATCTAAAAACCCACCTTCAGATTAAGTACGCTGGATGCTGTACATACATAAAAGATCTAAACATACTAAAAATTGGCTTCCTCCTTACCTGAGAGAGTTGATCATGGCTCCACAACCCTCCATGGCTCCCTGGGAGTCTGCATGGTATCCATTAGGGATAGCCCAGCGTCCAGGCTGGCTCAGCACAAACTCTGATCTGCTCCCTGGTATGGTGGTTCTCAGTGGGCTTCCTCCTGCTGCTGCCACAGCTCCACCTCCACGAACAGTGCTCTCTCCAGCGTTCACATGGGAACCTGGGGCATCTGGTCCAGCCTCAGCCCCTTCTTGCTCCTGAACGGTTTCCAGCTCCAGCTCCAAAGGTTCAGGGCCCTGTAACAGCGCCCTCTGTTGGATGAGCGGGGTCAGTGGCGCTTCGAAGCTGACACAGCTGTCTGTCTCGTCTGTGAGTGACAACACATCCAGAGAGTCCAGACTGCTGTAGCAGGTGCCCCCCCTCAGCAGGGCAGACTCCACGATGCGCTCAAATGTGGAGCTGAAGCCATCTTTGTTGTCTACCCTACCTTTCTCCCTCTCCTCCTCCAACTCCCTGTCCTCTTCCTCCTCTTCTTGCTCCTGAACATCAACCTGCTCAACAATCTGCTCGAACGCCGAGCTGAAACTGTCCTGGGTTTCTCTTCCATCTGCCTCTGTCTGGACCTCTTCCTCCTCTTCCTCCACTTCTGTATCAGCCTGTTCTACAGTCATCTCAAAGTTAGAGCTGAAAGCATCCAAGTTTGTGTGAGTCCCTCCTTCATCTCCTCCTTCCTCCTCACCAGCTTCATCCTCCTCTTCATTCCCACCTATGCCGTTGGCCAGTCTGTAACAACAAGAGGCAGAGGAACGTGTGAAATTAAATTTAGCTTATGGCTTATAACATATGGCAGTCTCTTTGTTGAGATTGATTCTCACATAAAGAAGATATTCATTGCTGAAATTATTTTTTATTCAGGAGTACGCACGATGGGCAAATATTTCAGCTTGAATAGCCACACTGACAACTGAAGCGAGATGAGAGATGAAAAGGCACAGTCCAATTTGCCTTTCTGTGAATAGCCGCAAGCTCATGTGCCCTCAGCTATTTCATCCCTTTCATTGAAGAGAATGTGAATGTATTGTAGAGCTATGGGTTTACTGCTGATGGACAGAAACAGCCCAGTAAATTAGTTTTATTCAAAACAGCCATATACTATTAATTTATGTTATGTTTTGTTATATTATGTTATTTTATGTTATGCTTCATTACGTTATATTAAGCTATGCTATGTAAAAGTATTCTGTGTTATGCTATACTATGTTATCTTATGCTATTTCATGCTACCCTTGCTATTTCATGTTAATTCAGCAAACCACAAGTCATCTGATACGTTTTTCTGCCACAGTTACAATTTTCAGCTCCCCTCTCCCCACACATATGTGCTCGCACACAAAAACACGCACACATACAAACACACGCACACACACAAACACACCACACACACTCTTCTGCTATTTTAATGTGGTTAGAAAATTGGTGGCTTGATCTTCAAGCGCTTTAGAAATTAGGCATTTTTGCTCCGTTTGTTTTCTTTTCAGTTGAGGCTTTTTTTCATCTATTTTGTAAAAATGCTGGTAAAGCACATTCCACTAATGGTGTACTACAGAACCACAATCAGAAAATAAAATTCCATTGAAAATATTCTGTTTGTAAAAATGGCACTGTATAAAGATATCAGTGGAAAACATAAACACAGTCTGCACAACCACAGAAGACTTGGGTTACTACACAATGTAATCCATAAGAAAACCATGTGCGGATATGTGGGTTTATCTTTCACTTTTTCAAGATAAAAGCGAATGAATTGTAGATTTAACAGCTCATGTGTTGCTCATACAGCATGTAATCAACTGAGGGGTAAAGTAGCTTCTTAATTAAAGTCACAAAGAGATATAGTCACAAGATTTTCAGGCCCTGACAACTGTACAGAATATATGTGGACAGAGTACAACAGTAAAGATGATTTAGTGAACTAACCGCCCAGCTTGTTGAGGGTGTGTTGCCTCCTCTGATGCAGGCTGCATCTCTTCAGTTTCTTTCCCCTCCTCTTCCTCTTTCATCTCCTCCACCTCATGTGGTGCCTCTTGTCCCGTTGAGCTTAACTCTGAATTTATACATCCTTCCACTCTTGTGCCTTCCCTCTCTCCCTCCACCCCTCCTTCTGTCTGTTGATCTTCACCTCCAGTGCCATCTAACCTCCCCTCTTTCAACTCCCCCTCCTCTGCTTCTGCTCTCCTCTCTCCTTCCCCACACGTCGCCGCCTGTGCCTCCTCGTCCGCTTCTCTGATCTCCTCTTCTTGTTTCCCGTCCTCTGTCTCGTCCTTCGCCGTGGCCCCTGGCTTGTCCTGCTCTGTCTGGTTGGGGGTCACTGTGGGTGAGTCAGTGGTGGTGGTTGTACTGGCCTCTGCTGGGTTCTCTGGTGGGGTGGGAGAGGGCAGAGCCTGCCCCTCCTGGGTCATGGTGCTCTTTACTGAGGGGGAAGCACCAGTCCACTCAGGCCAGGATGAGGGCCAGATCTTAAAACCAGCAACTGGAGAGGACTAAAAAAAGGAGAGAAGAAAATCAGCATGAAATGAAGCACCAAGTTAAACAGAGGAGGAGGTGTTTTAATTGAATACATTGACTATGGAAGACACTGATACAGCCATTTGATCATTTCTTGTCTTCATTAAGAGAGTCACAGAGGTCACCTTGAACAAACAGCTGCATGTGCAATGCAGTATGATTCTATGGATGCATGTGTGTTACACACAGAGAGATGCGCATGGCAGGAAACCTTTGTCCTTTGCACCAGATGATCCAAAACTGAAAGGAGGGCAGGAAAAGGTAAGCAGAAAGGAGCAGAGACACACATGCAGGCAGCCATAGAGAGAGACTGGTTTAATAAAGCCCCACAGATCCTGTCAGAATGATCCTGCCAGCTCATCCGCTATCTGTCTGCATGAAGATTTCACAGCTGAATAACTCACTATATGTTTCCAGCTCTGCTCTGGTTGTGCTTTGGGTAAATGCAAGATAGTAACGTGAGATTTGAACATGTGTCCTAATAATGTATTGCAATTCTCACTTGCATTGTTGGCTCAAAAAACCCCGTGCAGCATGTCTTCTTCTATCCTCACCAAGGCTCAAGGACAAATGCTAATGAGCAGCTTTCAATTACTGTTCTTCAGAGCTAGTTATGTGAATTAATGCTGCATTTGATATAATATTCTTTTCTCTGGAATATAAGACATGATACAAAGTGGAATTATTATTTTTTGTAGATTCAGTCTGATGAACTGTGTGTGTGAAATGATTATAAGTGTAATCATTGACAGGAAAATTTGCCAACAATTTTGATGAATCAATGAATGGTTCTCAAGCAAAAATAAATATTGATTGGTTCCAGCATTTTATTGCTGATGAATCTATTGATTTATTCCCAGTCAGATTTACTTCTAGCCTCAGCCTACCCTCAAGTTTGGCCTGTATCATTGATTTCAAGGCCAAAGCACTTGATGACGCTAAGGTGCACAGCTGAAGTTATGTCCTGCTGGTGGCCACTAACACCAATCTACTGGTAGTTGGTAACCTAAATTGTGCAGAAGACCTTCAAACGTACAAGGGACGTTCAACATCTTGCACAACAAGACAAGATGTTTCAACACAATCTCCAGCAGTATCTGGTGAGTTTGATCTAGTCACAATCTTAATTTATCATTTTTTAATCGTTGATTATGAAAATCCAGGTAAATACAACATGAGTAGGCATTGTTACAGTTCATTTTAATCTGGCATAAATTAAGGTAAAGTGAATTCAGCAAAATTAGTGAAACATATTTTATAAGGCAGATCTCTGCATTGAAGGGATTCTGTCTGTATTGCAGAGTGCAGCCAGGACACAGCCCTGTCTGCCAGATCCAAAAAAAGTCCTGAGACACTAATATCTGCTCTGCTGAATCATGCGCAGCGGGGGACCTGCAGCACAACTGCAGTAAAATATTTACTAGGATTAAGGTAATTTTCTGACAGCATGTACAGGCAGGTAGGACCCGGTTTGGACAAAATTCACATTAAACAAATTGCAGCAGTTACAACAGGATTATGGCGGAGAGAGATAGATTGTTGCAGGTTAGAATGTGAGCCAATCTATCTATGATCAGCTGCTGAGCACAAGGACACTGCAGGTCCACTAAATGTTTCATCACAGCTCCTAAAAGGAATGATGCAAATTATGCAGAACCCCAAAAGCCAGAGAAACTGGCTCTTTATTTCAGATACCAAATTACAGTTAACCTTTGCTTTTTTTAGGACTTGGTGTTGTGGTACTGTTTGAGTTCACCTCTGGGAAATAATACATTTCAAACTAACAATAAAAAACCCAAGTCTAAGCCACCAAACACCTTGGCTGAATAAGTGAAAGGATTGTTCTTCACACACTGAAATACAAGTTAAATTTCAAACTCCCTCTCACTCTGACTGCTATCTAAACTGTGAAAATCTCAAAGGGCACTTTGATCCTTCAGTCCATCTGTGATTGGCTCAGTCATTGATGTGTATTTTTTAATTTTACAATATGGGAGCATGGGAATAATTGCTGTGATGTTTTTCGGGACTAGGCATTTTGTTTCAGTTTATTCCATCTGCAAAAACCTCATCATACTGCACAGTGCAGCATAGATCGTACATGATTATATAAATATAATTTATTTGACTGCATGATGATAGACAAAGAAAAAAGTGCAATTCAGAAACTGGTATCTGAAAGTCATTTGCATGGATCATTCTGTGATTCGGATGCGCTCAAATATCCCTAAAGTCAGGTAGAGAATATTTGCAACACATTTCCACCTGGGTCTTTGGCAGCTCACATTCATGCACATCTACTCAGCAAGTACCATTTGCATCCTTTTAAGCCATTACACAAAGATACATTTGCACATATTAACATGCAGACAAGCACACACACACTCGCAAACAAAACAGTGACACATCTCCATAAATGGAAACAGGGAACAGTTATGAAATGAGGCACGAAAAGTGGGAATTCTCTGTCTCTCTCCCTCCCTCTCTGTTTCTCCAGTGTCCTGTTTTTCCCCCACTCTCTCTTCGTCCTCTGTTTTTCTCACAGTGCAACTCCGCTCTCTCTTTTCTCTGTAAGCCTCTCATTTTGCAGTAATTGAGGTAAATGGATCTTAGCCAGCAGAAAAAGGAAGACAGAGGAGGCTGCACTGTGAGTCTGACTGCTGAGGAGAGAGGGAGCAGATGTGCTCAGACACCCCACATGAAGGGATGAGGAGAAAACCCAGCCAATGATAGAGATAGCGTTAGTGTGTGTGTGGGTGTGTGTGTTTGAGTCTTTGTGTATCTGTATACAATAGCACACAGGACAGACTTATTGCATTCTACTTTTGTCAGCAGAAGACAGGGGTTCTTAAGCCTTATCAATTTCCTTTGATTGCGATCAGACCATCTGCCAATCATGTGAACAACACAACCAAACACATATGCAGACACACACACACACACACACACGCACACACACACACACACACACACACACACACACACACAAACACCCCTCTGAAATCATGGCCCAACCAGGCATATAACCACCAATCCAGCTAGGATGATGCTGATAAAAGGCCAAGTTGCCATTAAATAGCTCTTCTCTTCTTTTTAAATCTCTCTCTATCTTTCTGCCTGTCTCACACACTGAAACACAAACACACAAACACACACTGCAAAGAATGCACACAGACACACACTATGGTGTAATTTATTGATTCTCCGAGACACAGAGCCGCAGTCCACTGGGACTCTCTAGCGATAAGCATGACCACTCTCTATCAGCAGCAGAGATGCCAAAGAAACACAACTGAGGAAATCAGACTGCGAGCTTCAGAAATGAGAGAAAATACTTCTTCAGAGCATCGGTTAATCACAACCAAACTTAACTTTGCTATGACTTTTGGTTCTTAGCTAGTACCACACTTTCAGAAAGTTGGCTAATTCATAAAAGAAATGCAGGCAGAAAAGGTGAGGATATCCTAACTCCTTATCCTAAGCTTCAGAGACACTTGCTCCTACATCTAACTAATAATTCCACAAATCTCTGTCTGTCTGATATGGAACACATACCTTGAAAACCGTTCAGCTTTGCACTTGTCATGGGTATTGTTAAGGACCCAAGGAGTGCTGAATGTGTTGAATTTGGTGTGATTTGGACAAACAATGCTTTGAGTAAAACCTGAATAAAGAGGTGACCAGTGTTCTGTAACAGTGGGGGCTCAAACTCATCAACATGAGTCCACGACAACAGCAACCGGGTTCTGAGTACTGAGACAAGCTTCATCGAACTTTGAATAAACAGGTGAACAGCTCTTTGTGCAGCAGTGGAGGTGCAGCTTCAGGGTTTTGTTGCAGCTTTTTGTTACAGCTTCAGGGTCACTTTTACAGTTTCAGAAAGAAAGCTGCAACCAGAATAACCACAAGTCAAACAAAGAGCCCATTCCAAACAGACAGGCTAGGAACAAGCACGGCACAAGTTTTCCAGAATGCAGCCAATAATGTTGATTAATTTGGATGACAGCTTGGAGGAGCCAAGATTGAAAAGATGTTCATGTCAGCATAGTTTGAGCGTGGCTTCACAAACTGCTCCAAGTACCTGACACAGCAGAAGTAGCTCATCTAACTGATTAATACGATACTGTATATAGAGTCTGACCCATTCAGGATTTTTGGAGCTGATGTTGTTTCTGATTTTACTGAGTAAAACCAATCTAAATATATCAGCCGAGACTCTGAACCTCTATATAGGTTGTTGTTGGTTGCTGTTCCATTTACAGTGGAGGTGATTCATGATGTTTTTTCTCTCTCTCCTGCCCAGGGACAACAAATGCTATAAGAACAATATAAAGTATGAGAGGAGTGTGTGCTCCTTACTGGACAAATAATTATCACACAATATCTAAAGCAGATCTTTTTCTGTCTTATGCTCTGAGAAAACATATTTTGATAACCGCACATATTGTTTAACCTATATGCCGATAGTAATGGATCTGTGATAGGCTAACATTGACAGAAATATTGGTGAGGCTCTAAAAATATGACAACTAAATTATGAGTGGGGATAACCAGTTTGGAATAATTTATGAACTTTCCCACGCAACACTAAGTTTTCCTGTTACCTGTAAACTAATTCGTTTAATGTATTGACTGTCCATAAAGATGGATGACGTGGCAGCTCCCCAAAAGGGAAGTCAAAGCCTCTCTATCTCCACCTGTTGTCTGGCTGCAGTATAGGTCACTAACTTTCCCTCCTCCATGTTAACAGATGGGACATTCATTTCAAATACATTTTTCACAATGATGGCCTCTATCATTTTAAGTATTCTTCACCACATTGATGTATATTCAAATGTTAATTTTATCCTGTATCTTTGGTTTTAATTAGTTTTCTGATGCAAAACAAATGGGGTCAATCTTTGTATTGGTTAACATGACTCAACAACACAATCACAACTGTGTAGACTCAACAGTGCAAGATGGCAGCACCCGTATTGGAATATGTGTTAATTTCAGTACAACAGGAATTGGAGAGGAGTTGTTCATCTCTATTTATAGTTCATGCCTTTCAAACGCCATAACTTTACCCTGTAACATACAACAACTGGACACTTTAGTGGCAGTTGGCGCCTTTCCTGTTCAAGGGGAGTGGCAACATGTCCAGATGTTATTGGCTGTGACTGAATGTAATATGGTGCAGTGGAGGAGAGGATTACCAGGGATTCCCTGAGTGTTTAGCAAATGACCGAGCTACACAATACGGAAGAAAATCTGGTTGTGGCTTATCTGAAACAAAATGGAAAGACTTGCACTACCAAGATATGAAATGATGAAATTATAGCCTTAACATTATATTATAGAAATTCATGTTCTGCTCTTTAAACCATTAATCTCCTTAATCCTTAATATCTATCATTATGTCATTCTGTCATTCTATCATTCTATCTATCTATCTATCTATCTATCTATCTTAACAGTTTTGTAAGTAAATCTTTTTGAAAAAACTCATCATCCTGCAGACACATGTGTTGGGCATCACTGCACCACTTACACTCTGAGTGTGTGTGCACTCAGAGTGTAAGTGGTGGAACATACAGTCCATTGACCACTTTTAACTTTTCTGACCTCATTATGTTTGTATTGATGCCTGCACTCATTTTAAACTGAAATATGTGTGCATCTCTTTTGTTTGTGCCTTGTGCCACCATGAGGGTTTCTTATTGAGTTACTAAAAGTGGTGCTCCACTGTGTACACTGACAGCAAGTTGATTATCTTAATTATTATTGCTAATTAGAAAATCTGCAGCAGAGAAAAACAGGTGAACATGACAATAAATAGGTTTCACACTTCACAGAGGATCTTTTAATCGACACCTTAACCTAGAGGCAGATCCAGGAGCGTGGACAGGGGGGCACTGGCCCCAGCTGAAATCCCATTGGCCCCCAAAGAGCCCCTGTCCTGTTGGTAGACTTTAATTACTAACATTGCTAAAAATAAAGATGACAATTTGTTATGAAGCTTCATTTTCTAAGCTTTTTTAAAGAAGATTGAACAAGGAACAATATTTGAAATCTGTAACTTTGCTTGAAGCTATAGAGCTAACAGTAGACAAGGATTGACTTTAAAGTGCACCTCAATGAATCCTGAATTGTGCATGGATGTTGGACATATAATTGGCCACTCTGTTTGAATTTTGGCCCCTTTATGGCCCCACATTTAGAAAAAATCCAATGATCCACCACTGCGTTAACCACTGACACCAGCAGGACAACCCTCTAAATAGTTTTCATAAAGAGCTAATTAGTAATTAAAATTAACTAATGAAGCTATCAGCTGGACTCTGATGGATGATAATCAGCTCAGCATACTCCTCACCACTCCTTTTGGGCGCTGCAATCTCTTTCTATAAATGGCCTACTGACCCTGTTCATAATATACAGCACAGACACTATACCACCCCCCCC